TTCTCTTCTCTTCTCTTCTCTTCTCTTCTCTTCTCTTCTCTTCTCTTTCATGATTTTTGTAGGAGGGCTTTTAGGAAGAAGCAGCTTGGCACTGCTGCTTTGGAGAGCGAAGCGGCCACTCCTGAAAACTCCCTCTTTTCCAAAGGGGTCAGGATCCTGGCCTTTTGGGCAATGGTCACCCGAGCTGGAATCTCGGCTTGTTAGCTTACAGCTCTTAATGGCACAACAACTCTCAGAGAAGGGCTTCTCCAATATGCTATTTGGACTCAGTTTTGCAATGGGTTCGTGAGATGGGATGGGGGTTAAACGAGGGAACTCTCAAGACATCCTGAGGGTGCCAGAGCTCCTGCATGGTAGAGTGTGACCGAGGCAGAAACTCAACTGGTAGGCATAGCTCATCTTTGCTTTAGCACACCTGGGGAAACTCACCTTTCTGCCTGTCCTGCAGGTCCTAAGGCACAGGAAGCAACACACCAAAAGGTGTACCTCTCCTTTTCAGATGGTGCCAATGGTTTGGGAGGGAATGCATTAATTGCTAGACAGCTGGCGTGGTGTGGTGGTTAGAGGGTTGGACTGGGGACATGCAAGATCCGGGTTCAAGCCCTACTTCAGCTATGAAGCTCTCCAGGGGACTTTGGGCCAGTCACAGCCCCTCAGCCCAGCCTCCCTTACAGGGCTGTTGTTGTGAGGATAAAATGGAGCTATGTAAACCGCCTCAGCTTCCTCAGAAGAGGAAAAATAGTAGTAGTAGCAGCAGCAGTAGTAATAATAATCTCGAAACACTAGGATCTTAATGAGTGCATTTCTACAAGTGGGCGTAGTTCCCAGAGCATTGATTAGCACACATGGATATCGTAACTATCAACAGGCAGCCAAGTTGGAGTGGCTCTTATCTTCTCTAGCAATGCATCTGCCACTCTGCAAATATTCAAAGCCACCAAAGCATTTTGGGTGGCAGGTGCTTCTGCCCAGGCTATTATTTGAATAGGCTTCTGGAACGCAAGAGCTGAAAATGGTAACACTGGCTGTTTTCCCTGGCTCAGTGCAGCACTGGAGGGAAGGTGGGATCTCCCGGGAAGGCCTGTGCAAGGGGCAGCTGCGACAAAATGTTGCAGTGCATCCTCACCCATGAAAAAGCGGTGCTCCGGGGCAGCGTGCGAGCGAGCAACACCTTCCTCCTGGAGACTACTAGCTGTTGGGTAGTCAAGCGGGGCCCCTCCAGATGTTTCAGACTTCGGCTCCCATCAGCCTTAGCCAGCTTGGGGAATGGTCAGGCATGCTGGGAGTTGCAATCCCACAAGGCACTTCTCTGAGGAAGGCTGTGTCAGGGACTCGAACGAGCCCACCCACAAACTGTGTGGAGCCTCCGTTTTTACAGTGTGGCTTTTGCAGCCTGAGTTGCCTGCCAAAAGGGAAAAGATCCTAGCAAAGTCCCAGACCCACCTAGATCTTTGCTCACACTGGACTAGAATCTTTAGAATTGTAGTCAAAATTTTTCAGGATTGATTGATTGATTGATTGATTGATCGGGGCTCCTCCCTTCTCTTCCCAAGGGAAGACAGCTTGCATTTGGTGCACAAATCTTCTCTGCGCAGGCACAGAGCCGCCCCACCTGTGGGATGTTCAGTGTGACTTAAGAGACAATCACGGCGCAGGCCGCAACACCACAGGTGCAGACAGACCTATGCAGCAGACCCTGCTGTCCTCCGCCCGTATGTCTGTTATTTATTTACGGATTTATTTTATTTCTATACAACCCCACAGCCAACCCGCCCCCCCCCCCACCCGTTACCTTCCAAATGAGAGCTCATTCACCCAACCAGGGAGGAAAAAACAGCCCCCCCCCGCCCTGAACAAAACACACCCACAACTTTGAGTGTGCTGATTGCCATATGCCTATAAAGGCCCCTAGTACAAAGGGATATTTGAATTTCCAAAAAACCTCTGGCAGGGGGATTCAAGGATGGGGAGGGGTCAGCAGGAGGGGGAAGCCAAGCGTCGAAACGCCGGCTCCTCCAGCGTGGCCGGACGCAACAGAGACCCGCAGGGGCCGCGGAGCTTGCTTCCAGCCAGTGCTCCTGGGGAGGAGGTGGAGGGTCAGAGGGCCTTCCAGAGCTGCGGAATTCCAAACAAAGGGTTGGCTCCCGGCCTGTGGCATTGCTTCTGCTCTTCCAGTGTCGGAAAAGCTCCAAACAGGGTGATCAAGGGTGCCATCCAGCAGGCTGCCTGTACCACTCCGAATCTGGGGAGCTGCGGGCATCCAGGGGAAGATGGGAGGGTTTGGATTAGGCAAAAATGGCCTCCAGGAATCCCTCACACTCCAAGATATTTAGTAGTCCAGTTTTGTCAGTTGGCGGGTTTTACTCCTGTCTCTCTGCGAGGGGCGGAGGCATCGCCAGGATTCCTCATTTTTCAACAATGCCTTGCTTCTCTTCTTAAACCTTCACTACCCCCAGCGCTGGGCCTGAAGTCACACCTGTGGCCAGAGTGGAAAGAGCTGTGTGAGCTGTATGGGGGGAGCATGCTCCAAATTTGGAGCCCCCCAGCAGCTAAACCAGAGTCTCCCCAAATCCCCTTTTCAGATGCATCCATTAAATCCATGTTTTAGTGGTCCTCTCCCTATTTCAAATTACTCTACAGTTTCTGTAGAACTTTCTGTAGAAGCAAGAAGGGCCAAACTTTGAGCACATCATGACTGCAGAAGGCAATCATGCTAAGCAAAGTCGAAGGCAGAGGGAGGAAAGGAAGTCACCCAGAGGACCTTCAGGTTATGGGGCAGCATAGAAGTAGAATGAAATAAATAAATACTAAATAAAGGAAGATCAAATACGAGATGGATGGGCTCCATCAAGGAAGCCATGGCCTTGAATTTGGAAGAGCTGAGTGGGGCTCTCAAGGACAGGACATCTTGGAAGTTCTCATTCACGGGGTCACCAAAAGTTGGAGATGACTTGACTACACAATAGCAGGTGCAGCTTGCCCCCAGATCTGGTCCTTAAGAGCTTCCCCACTGGTCCTGATCCAGATTTCCCTCCGTCTGCTTACACTGGAGCAAAAGTGGAGAGGAGAAATATATACAAGTTTTGACATCCTGTTCGTTTTGGCCTTGGCTAGCAGGAACCCCACCGCTGCCCCAGGACTTCAGCCCAGGCGATTTCCTAGCCCCACCTGGAGTTGCTGGGATTCATCAATTCGTACAATTGCAAACCGCTCAATCCATAAAGCCTCCAGTCCTCTGCCTTGGGAGGGAGATGAGGATTAACCAGAGCCCCAGCCACGTGGGCCGGTGGCCTCAGAGCCGGGACTCCATGCGCCAAGACCTGCCCCATCCTCCTCACGGCAGGATGGAAAGCGCCACGCAGCTGCGGATCGATCTCGGACAGCAGGCGAGGGGCCTGCCATGGGCAGGTAGGGATCGAGGCGGGGCTGATGGCAGTACACTGAATTCAGAAGGCCCCCCAGGCTCCTTCCCTGCCCCTTCATTTGGACAGAATGTGGGGCAGGAGGGGCTGTGGGGACCGGCCTTGTGCCATGTCGGGCGGGCCTGGAGACTCGAGGGTCGGCGGCCCGGGACTGCACTGGGCATCCCCTGAAAGCCAGAGCGGGGCACCAAGTTACAGCCCTTCCACCACATTCCTAGTATCTTCTCCCACACTCCCAAGGGTTGGGAAAAACCCCTTTGGGAAGGCCCGTTTTCAGCTGTAAATGAGTGGGAGCAAAGGTGAGCACCCCACACCTCTCTCTCTCTCAGATGTAGCCGATGTCTGGGGCTGCTGGGTCTTTAAAAATGCACCAACCCACGGCTAAGATGACAGGCCTCCATTTACAGTGCAGCTTTGTTTGACCCCTAGAGAAGTTTTCCCGAAAATTGCAGTCGACTTCAACTGCCTGCCTGACGTTCGGCCAGCGCATCCCTGCAAGGTTCCCACTGGGGATCTTCAGAGGGGGACCCGGTGTGCCAGGAATCCCTCCTCCGTGGCCGCTGTGCAACCAGAACCATCTGCTTGGTGTTGCTGGAAAGCCTCGCAGAAGGTGGGGACGGTGGTTGGCTTCCTTGGAGACGGAGGGAGAGGTGCGGCTGGACGGCTTTAGACTCCGCTAGGTTGTCTTTCTGAGCGTGAGCCAAGGAGTCGGACATCAGCCAGTCTAGCCTGAAATGATCTCCTGGCGCTTTCTGCCATCCCGAGGGCTTCCTAGGCTCGCCCTCAGCAGGGGGAACTGGTGGGCAGTGCAAATTCTAGCAGGGCTGCCAGCAAAGGGAGGCCATGGATGCCCCGCTCCGGAGGATGGCCCTCTGCAGATTGTGTCAGGGAGCCGTTACTCAGCCCGGTGCTGGCGGAGCGCGCGTCTTTCAGAGCACTGTCTCCACAGGGCAGCTTCCTGTCTCAGTTGATAACCGGCTCATGGGCAACCGCCCTGCCAGAAGGCCCAGGGCACGTGCAGGGCTGTGTGTACAACTCACGATTAGCCAGATGCAGAGATAACGGCTAATCTCTTGTTGCCTCTGAGACAAGATGTGTTTTGGGCTCAGGGGCCTTGTCGGCTGCAAGATCTCTTAAGGGCTTGTTTGACTGTTGTGCTTCCTTGGGGTTCTCATGGGATTTCTGGTGGCACCTTTCCCAGGGCGAGGAAAAGTGGCTTTCTAGGAATTCTTGAAGCCCTAACCAGCAGTCCCAATGGCCAGGCATGATGGGAGACGCAATCCGCCAAGATCTGGAGGGCCAACATTCCCCATTTTGTAGCCATCTTTACAAGGGTTGCATGGAGAAATGCCGGCCTCAAAGCTTCCTTTGCAGAAGGTACTTTAGGAGGATGAGGATAATCAGGACAATAGTTTTTATCCATCCTAAATCCCCCCTTTATACCCCTTGCAGCGGTGAATTCCTTTTTCCTGGGGACCCACATTTACTCTGTAACTTTGGGGCCAAGTTGATATTTTGCTAGCAGAATGCCGTGGGTCCAATCCCAGCTAGAAAAGCATTTAAAGGAAGTGGATCTGGGAAAAACTCCTGCCTAGAGGTCATCTGGCATGTCACACTGATGCAAGAAATGAATGTGTGACTTAACTAAACAAAAGGAGTTAAAAACTGCCATGGGGTGGGGGCCGGAGCAGGACGGGGGCCAAAAATTCTCCCTGATGCCACTTCTCCAAGGCCTTCCCATCACATGCGACCTGATTATTTAAGTTCTTGAGCTCGAGATTTTTGGGAGGTGACTCAGTGCCCCGCCACTGACACATTCCCTGTCCCCAGGTGAGTGGGTGGAGCAACGGAGGTGCTGGAGAACCTGTGCGGTACTGTGGTTAAGAGCGCAAGTCTGGGTCTCAGGAGATCCAGGTTCGAGTCCCCGCTCAGCCACGAAGCTCCCTGGGTGTCTCTGGGCCAGTCACCAACTGTCATCCCAACCCACCTCATTAGGTTGTGGGGGTGGAAATGGCAAGGCAGGGGTTAATATAAACTGCCTTGGATCCCTTGCCGTGGCAAAGGTGAGCCACAAGTGTGATCATGAATGGATGTCAAAACAACGCAGCTGTTCCCGAGCTCTGCGTTTTCACAGTACATTTGTCTGCAGCTGCTGCAGGCTGAAATCCTATTTACTTGGAAGCAAATCCCACTAAGTTATGCACGGAGACCCACATCCAAGTTGTGGTGGCGATGATCTGGCTGGGTGCCGAAGTCAGTGGCCACCCCATTACCCTGAACGAGCACAGGATCAGGCTCGTGCCAACAGAGGGTAGCTCATTTCCTCCAAAACCGACAGTACAGAGAACTAGCCCACGCAGCAGAGAGGACAACGGCAGGGTCCTGACGCCCAGGAACGAAGCCTCCCGAGAGCAGCTCCCCCGGCTGACCCCAGTGATTAAAGAAGCTGTTAAAGGTTTCCAAGGGTGTTGGCATCTGGATTCTCCAGACATCTCCCCCTTGGAAATGCCGGGGCTCTGGGGCTCAGGCAGCATGAAGAGTGGGCGAGATGGAGTTATTTTCTCCTAAGGTCTTGTACCTTCACGAACAAAACAAAAGAAAGCCGAGCAAAAGGACGGCAGGTTGCAGGTTGCCACGCTACTGCGAGGCCAACGGCCGGATGCTCGTGCGAGCCGATTCAAAGCACTGTTTGGGAAGTGCCTGGGAATCGGAGAGCGGCAGCCGGGGAGCTGAATGCGAGCGAGTGAGCGAGGCTGTTCCTGTGGAATTCCGCCCGTCTTGTCCACGCTCTTGGCTTCATGTGCCCTTGCTCAGCTGTTCGGCCTCAGAAAAAGCCTCAGCATTGTCTTCAAATGTCATGAGGCAAACATTTGGGGGCAAGCTGCAGATGCTCTGAGCAGAAACTTGCTTTAAAATCTTCCCTCGTCTCGGGGCTGGGCTGATGCTGGCACCCAGCACCCGAACATTTGTGGAAGGGCTGTCAGTGGGACCCCATCCCGTGCCTTCTTAAAAAACAGCCGCCACACTGAATCGGGGTGTGTGTGTGTTTGCAGAGAGGGGCCCTCTGTCCAAAGAAGGATTGTGCTTCACCAAGACAGGGTAAATTCTTTCTGCTCATGTCACAGTGGCAGTGAAAATCCCCACCGGAGAGGACAGATTTGTCCCTGGGGCATCTAATCTAGCTTTCCATTCACACAGGGGCCAACCAGCTCCTTGCTGGTGGGGGCACACTTCACTTGTGGTTGTTAGCTACTGGAATAGAGGCATCCTGGCTCTGCGAGTGGAGGCAGCATAGAACCATCAGGACTAGTAACTTGGATAGCCTAATCCTCTGAGATTGGAGGGTGGGACAACCCTAGTTGCATTTTTTAAAAAGAAACCTCACCCATCCAAAAATGCACCCACACAACATGTTGTTTGCTTGTGCCTGCAGCGTTTTCGGATTCCCAGCAAAATTATTTGCCCAAACATTTGCCCAAAGCAAAAACCCCGACAGTTGCTTTTGATTTCCATGTGGGCAAAATTTCATTTCGAGAGAGGCAAACAGGGTTGGAAAAGAGCTGGTTGCGTGATAGGATGACTGGAAAGAGATCTTACTCTTGGCATCATTTCCCTGCTGAGGGACAAACAGAAATGTGAAGGAAAAACGGGTTCTCTGGAGAGAGAAAAGTTGGCCTCGGTGAACTCAAGTGCAAAGCATCCAACTCCGCACCTGAGTATAGAAAGTCAGACTCATATCTACCTCCTGACCCCCCCCACTCACTCCATGCCCCCGCAATCCTGGGACTATACACCCCACTCTATATTTATCCTTTTCTTGACTATATTATTAACTCTCCCTGGAGCCTCAAAATTTCCACAGACATGCAGAGACATAAGAATATAAGAACTGTTCTGCTGGGTCAAGTCCAAAAGAGCTGGCCACAAAGAGGCGAAAAGCCGGGCTGCATTTTCCTTGAAGCTTGTTCTGCTTCATTCACATTCCCCATTGCAAGTTTCTTCTTCTTTTTTCAGCTGGAAAAAATAGACTTTTTTTTAGGATGTGCATTTCCTCACCCCCAGCTGAAAATGCACATTTTTGGAAGGGCAGATTTGTGCATGCGAATGCTGCCAAAGGTGAGTGCAGGTTCTGGACACTGCAACAACCCCCCCGCCCCCCGCATTCCTGCTTGATTTCACATTCAGGAATGGGATGTAGTCACACCATTTGCAAACAGGAATGAAATGGCATTCTTACTTGTGAGCGCCCCCCAGCAGAGGGATAGTGTGACTGAGCAGTTTTGTTGTTGTTCAGTCGCAAAGTTGTGCCCGACACATCATGACCCCATGGACAACATTCCTCCAGGCTCTCCTGTCCACCATACCCCAGAGTCCACTCAAGCCCACACCCACTGTCCCAGGGACCCCATCCAGCCACCTCATCCTCTGCCGTCCCCGTCTTCTTTTGCCATCTATTGTTCCCAGCATTAGGCTCTTCTCCAGGGAGTCCTTCCTTCTCATTAGGAGGCCAAAATATTTGAGTTTCATCTTCAGTATCTGGCCTTCTAAAGAGCAGTCAGGGTTGATCTCCTCTAGGACTGACCGGTTTGGTCGCCTTGCGGTCCAAGGGACTCGCAGAGTCTCCTCCAGCACCACAATTCAAAGGCCTCAATTCTTCGGTGCTCAGCCTTCCTTATGGTCCAGCTTTCACAGCCATACCTTGCAACTGGGAAAACCATCGCCTTGACTATACGCACTTTTGTTGGCAGGGTGATGCCTCTGCTTTTTAGTTTGCTGTCTAGATTCGCCATTGCTTTCCTCCTATGTGACTGAACATAGGGGCTTTATATTCTGCAGCAGTTGTGATCTTGTTTAACATATCCATAATCCATTTGCAAAAGAATCTAAACACTGGCTTGAGCAAAATAACGTTGCCTTTTATGAAAAGTTTGGGCAGGGGAGCTTCGACAGGCCACTTCTGGACCTGAAGTCTTGCAGCTGGGGAGCCCGTGAAACAGCCCTCTGCTGTGAATCGGTGTGTCTTGTGCCACTGGGACAAGGCCTCCCAGGAGTCATAGAGGAGAAGGGGCTCCTTGGGATATTCTGGACCCTGGCTTTATGGCAGGGATGTGGAAGTGCGAGCCTCTTTTCTGGCCTGCGGAGCCTCCTTTGATTTCTCCAGTGGGTGAGACTCCCATTAAAGCAGAAGCCCAGAGAAAGGCCCAGAAAGAACCTAGGAACCGAACCAGATTCTGCACAAGCGTTGCTCGCAATGGGCGTATTTTGGCAGGTATCACACCGAACCAGCTCTTGGCTTTCCGAGGCTTCTTGGCGAGAAGGGTGATCCAATCTCATCTTCACATGGGAAGCCAATGCACCCGAGCATGTTCCGAGTTCTTTTCCTGAGACACATTGCCAACAGCTAACCTGCAGCTAGGCTTGGGGGTCAAACTCTGTTGCTTCCAAGTAGCATCCCTCAGGAGACCCTTTGTGGCATAATGGCTAGAGCAGGGGTGGGCAGTGGTGGAGGTCTCGGAGGCACTTTTGAGACCTGCCGTGGGTTTATAGCAGGGCTGCTCTCTGAACAAAAGAAGAAAGCTATGCCGACGTCGAACTGATCCGTAGCCCCGCAGAGCACTGAAAGGATCCAGTTGCGTAAGCTAAATTGAACCCTTTGCAGAGCTGAATGGGTTCTTCATTTGTGTAAGAATCACATTTATTCTTTTGAGCTGTGGTGTCCAAGTAGGCCTGGGGAGAGTCCTTCCACTGGGCCGGGAAGCCCACCGGGCAACCATGGGCCAGTCCTTGACTCTGAACCACCTGTCCTTCAACGGGCCGCTGAGAAGACATGTCGGAGATTGGGGTGGGTCAGGGGATGGGGCAGAGCATCCTTGGAGAAGAGGTGGAGCCCCACGAGCAATGCTGCCCACCGGGTCTTCTCAGGACCTTTCTGGACCATTTCGGGTGCAGGTGTCAGGTCCAAGGAAGCTCTGGCAGGAGTACGCATCTCTCGGAACAGTCCTGGTAAGCACAGGTAGCGATGTGAAGGAACCCGTACCAGGGCTGGGAATCCTACAGGTCCCGGGGCTCGGCTTCCCAAACGCCGGTCTGCACTGGCCGGAAACTGAGCCTCATGTGTTGTGCGAACTGTGCCCTCTTCCATACCACACGCAGCAGCCTTTGCTTGTGCTGCTGTCCTGCCACAGGAAACAGCGGTTTGCATGACACGCGCTGTCCTGGCACAGGAAACAGTGGTTTGCCTGACACGTGCTGTCCTGGCACAGGAAACAGTGGTTTGCATGACACTCGCTGTCCTGGCACAGGAAACAGCAGTTTGCATGACACGCGCTGTCCTGGCACAGGAAACAGCAGTTTGCATGACACTCGCTAGGAATGGAGTCCTGCATAACCACTGTGGAAGGAGTAGCCCTCTTCTGCGCCCGCTGCAGCACTTGCCTTGAGTTCCTTGCAGGAGCAAACAAATGCAGTGTGTACTCAATAAATTTAAAAACACTTTTCTGGAAGCTGGGTGGAGAGGCCTGTTCCGCGTGGGACAAAGCGCTTCCTGTGGAAGGCTGAGGAATCTGGGCACAGCATGCTTCGGATGAACCGGACCCGTGTATTCTGAAACCAGCTTGCATTTTTCTGAAGAGCTTCCAGACGTGCAGGAGGCGGGACCTTTCCTCCAACATATGCTTGGAGTCAGAGGTGGGAGAAGAGATTTCCATGGAAATGAGTAGGGTAGCAGCTGTTGTTTTTCACTAAGAGAAAAAAGGAGGAAGTTTACAAAGCCTAGAATGGATCTGGAGGGAAGAAAGGGATAGGAGGAAGCTAAGCTGTGCATGCGGTGGAAAATGACACCAGCACAGCGGACTCAAGACAGATTTCCCGGAACCCGTCTTAACAAATTAGTTGCGGTGCGATGTTTATGTGTGGAATCATCACTCGGGCTGGAAATGTTGAAACCCCCATGCCCCAGGAAAGGGGATAAATAGAAATGACACGTGATTGTGAAGCAAAACAACAATTGGGTTCTGGGGCAGCACAGAAGTAAAATGAAGCAAAGAAACAATATTGACGTGCCTTCTGTAGCCATTGCTTAGGCAGCTGGGAGGTTACGGAACGCTCAGAAACATTCCAATCCCTGAGGAGCAGGGGACCTTCGGGGAACATTGACGTGTAGCTGTGCAGGGAAAGGAAAGCTTGCTTGCTTGCAATGGCGAAACTCTTCGCTTGAGGTAGAGGGATAGATAGAGCTTCATGATAGGATGGCTCTGGGAGCTGAAAGGAAAGGAGCTAAGAGGATAGGAAGCATGAAAGATCTTCCCTAGCCATTCCTCTCCCTTCCCCTCCCTAGGCACCTCCTTCCTGTCCCCTTTCTAGCCTCTCGCCTTGCCCTGTCTCTCCCATTCGCCCCCTACCCTTCCTGCTCTCCTTCACTGCCAGCCACCTTTCTTTCCCTCACTGTTTCTTCCCAGTCCCGGCATCACTGTTTCTCTCCCTCTTCCCCTTAGCCGTGTTCTGCCGCCTCCAGCTATGTTATTTTTCTCCCCGCCACCCACGTTTGACGAGCCTACAGTCCCCTCCATCCTTGGATGCAATGGAGAGGTGCCACGGCAGTTCCTCAGCTGCCCAGGTGTGCCCCTGGGTCCAAAAACGTTGGGCACCACTTGGCTCTCCTTTCTAAAATGCCGCTTCGCTATCCAGAGCAAGCTCTTGAAACTGGTAGCTTCCAGCACAGTGCCAAGCGCCCCCCTCATTTAGCAGCACAAGCGGACAAGTATGGAACGGCCAAGGGAAAATCAAAGGTCTCTTTTCAAGTGCTTGTTTGCTGTGTTCATTGAGTGTCAGGCATACCAGGGGAGAGAGAGGAGCGGGGACTGAACCAAACCTCAACAGAGTTGGTTGAGATGCTATTGGTTCTGAGCCAATGGCTAAAAAAGTAAGGAATGTGAACCCAGGCACTTGAGAGATTTGCCCCTTTAAGATGCCCAAGTTGGGCAAACATTATTAATGGAGAAAAAATTCTTTGTCGGCCCTCTCGTCAAGGTGTCTCTTCCAACTGGCCTCTTGAGATTTGCACTTGAGGCCAAAACGAAGAAATGACTAAATGGAACGAAGCGGGAAAGATACACAAAAGAGTACACACAATGAGCAATGACTCGGAGCAGTGCTTCTGGCAAAAGGCAAAAACTTTTAAGGGTTCTACCCTTTAGAGAAAAACAGATGCCCAGATGACACAATGGGAGATGGAGCAGCGGCTCATAAAGTCGCAGGTGGGCTTTGCAGAAAAAATTTGCCGCATGGAGTTACGCTGTTCGGGGTTCCAGTCACGTCACTCTGTTTCAGCTTGCATGCAGTTTTCCACCTTGCTTCCTGATCGACCAGCCTGCATTTTGTGGCTACAGAACCCACCCAGTCCATGCTAGGCTGTTTTCGGGGTTCCCCTGGCACACGAGTCTTTAAAAAAAATTGCTTTCTTTTTTTCTATTTACTCGCTGCACATTTTGGGGGACCCTGCTAGGCCTGGAAGTGGAGCGGGGCCTGTTCGAACAAGATAAGCCACGACAGTTACCACCTGGGTGTCAGAGATAGAGGGGTGGATGAATGCTATGGAGACAACACGGGCCGAGAGAAACTTCTCCCCCTTAATTCTAGAACTTGGCATTATTCCACAATACAGACTGGCCATATTCAGAACCTGCCGATGTATTTCTTCACACAACATAAAGTTAACTGATGGAATTCCTTGCTGCAGAAAAGTTATTTATATCGAATGTGGCTATTTTACAGCATCGCTCACAGCTGTTTACATTCAGTCATGAAAATGCCGTTCTGCCTACGCACAAAGATCTTTGCTAGCGCGAGGGGTTCAAACCCCCCACCACAGCTGGAACGGCTACAGCCGAGACACAGAACAAGGCTGGAGTATTCTTTAGAAGTAAGGCAGATGGAGGTGATGAAGCAGACACGGTCCTCTGTCTTTTGGTGGAGTAGAGCTCCAGCGAGAGGACAGTGAGAAGTAACGACTTTAATGCAATGCAGAGCACAGGAAAATAGCAGGTTTGGAAACTCCGCCGGCGTTGCTATGTTAGGAACAGTGTTTATGTAGCAAGATGAGATTCATCATCTGGATGACACATGGCGTTGTGGTCATTTAGGGTACCATGGCAAATTTGGGACAAACAATGCCATTTCCGTTTGATGGATGGGGCTTCTCTATACACAGAAGCCCTGAATAGATCGTCCTCCATTTCTCCCTCCCCACCCATAACACAACTCTGGTGATGATCTTTTTCCTTCCCTCCACCCATCAGTTTTAAGGGTTGGTATATTGTGGTTTCGTTTTTGTTTTTGTTTTTTAATGCTTGCATTCAGCCTCTGCTGTCTGGGAAATACTCTTTAGTCAATTAGTGAGTAGCTTTTTAGGGCTGGAGGTTTTCCTTCCCCCTCCCTCCTTTCTTTGCTTACCCAACCAAATTTTCCACCAAGAGAGGAGGCTGAGATCCTGCAAACCTCAGCTTCTCTGTCCTGCATCATCCTGAAGAGTAATGTTTCGACCAGCCTTCCCAACCTGTTGTCCTCCAGATGTGCAGGGTGTGTCTTCCAGATGTGCAGCATAGCCACGCTGGCTGGGAATTATGAGTGCTGCGTCCGGCGTAGCATGAGACCGGAAGAGAGAGCATGGGAGACGTTCCAAAACTGAAGCATGGAACAGAGAAAGGGAATCGAGGGACTCAATCTTCTCTTTATCTCATAGCTCCATAACCTGGAACGCCTCCATGGCATTGATTGGCAGGAGGTTCAGGCCAGAGAAAACA